GGGGGGGGGGGGGGGCCTCTGGCCCGGAGAGGGATTTCAATGAGGTATTACAAAAGTGGTTAAAATAACATTATTTAAAGTATTAATTTAATTGTAGCCTTACAAATGTTAATTTGATATTCTCAGGATGATTTCTTCAGAGCTTATGAGTTATGTGAGCTCAGCAGAATTAGTTTTTATTTTCGTTTAATGCTACTTTATAGCAAGCAGAATCGCATAGGTTCGCTTTTTTACAATGCAGAAACAGAGGGATATATAATTACTTTTATGACACTCTCCATAAATCGATGTAACGATTGTGACATTTCTCACATGATTGTACTTTCATGTATAATTTTAAACAATAATGCATGAGTACAATAATAAAACATAAAGTTACATTATTAAAAAAAAAAAAAAAAAAAAAAAAAAAAAAAACATTACAGCGATTTTACGCAGCAAATTTTACGAAAAATTCATAAACCCATAAAACTACCCCGAACGCAATTGCCCATAACTTTTGCCCTAATTGCCCGATTTCAAAAATCTAAATACCGTTGGATAGGAAATTTTACGTACTTTTAAAATAAACCAATTTATTTTGTCGAAAACCCCAAAATAAGCGAGATTTTTTTTTTTTTTTGGGGGGGACGTGATTTTGCGCTATTTTTCCAAAACGGCGGCCATTCCGGGCCAAATTTTTGTGGGCAAAGTTCAGATTCAGCGACCGAAATTAGAGGAATCCGTCTTATTTTTTTCTCCTCAGATTTTTGCAAAATAAAATCACAGATTGACCGACAGAGCACAGGGGAGAATTTCATGAGCCGCCCTGCGCCGCGCCGTCCGTCCGTGGCGCGCATGCATGGCGCACGACCTGCCTTTATTCATCTGGCGTTGAGAGTTCACTTACTACTTCACACGACCAGGGTGTAATTTTCAAAGTTGAAAATTAAAAGAAAAATTACACGATTTGCGATTTTCTCGGCCAGGGAGCTCTCCTTCCAAGAAATCGTTCGCCACCCGCTCTCGTCGGGAGCGCCGCGGCGCACACTGTGGTATTGGACCTGAAAAGCTGGCCAAAACTATTTATCACCAGATATCGCCGAGTTTTAAAAATATTTTACAATCAGTACTTCTTCTTAAGTGATAATATGCACAATTGAACCACCTAACACATCATATGACAATTTGCGGAGAGTTTAAAGAGGGTACTCCAAAAAGCCTTTAAAAGGACCCAAAGTATCTGACTAAAGCTGTGCATTTAGACGAGTTTCTCCTTCACCTATGGTCTACTTTTCGGAATAAGGACTTTCTGTTACCTCATTAATGTTTTTTTTTTAAAAAAAACAGCGTAAGTCACTTCAAAATTTTTGACGAAACAGCCGATCTCTCACATTGAGGAGTAATTGTACATTTCTCAAAAAAATTAATATGAATCATTCTGGATATCAGATTTTTGACAGTTTTGAATCAAAATTATTGCTAGTATGAAAGTGCAGGGGCCTCCATATGATGATTTGAGGATAAATTATAAGATGAAAATGAGTTTTATCATAATAAGAACCATTGTAAGGACAGAAAGCACCTGTGAAAATGATTAATTTTGATGGGTTCTTTCCTAACCCATGGTCCACATCTCTTTTTATCCCTCTTTCGAGGGCGTAGGGGCCAGAGAAACAGGTTGCGTGACCAAACATCACCCAATTTGGTATTAAATGGGTCAGAGCTGTTGGAAAAATACAATTTCAGTCGTTAGTATTGACATAATTTTTCCCATTCGTGTTTGTGAAAATCGCTCAAAAGTCCAACTTTAAAGTCAAAAATTTCAATTTCCTCAGTTTTCCTCAGTCCGTCATCTCTGAATCCTGAAAATACTCACTTCGGACTATATCATTCCGCCTTAAACCGCTTGAGAACAGTTGAGAGCAAAAAGAAATCGGCCTCTGAATTTCGAAAAAAACGTTTACTTTTACATCACTTTTCAACCTCCTGTGAAAATCACTAAAAAAGGAAATTTCGAAAATACTGTGGTTAGTTGTGTAGAATATACCCCTAAGAATGTGTTGCATATCGCCGAACTTCCCTCCTATGGTCGCACAGTTGAAGTAAACTAATCGACGAGTAGCGCGCCGAAAACTCTCAAAATAATCGCTGAGAAATAGGTAACATCGTTGTCTCTTTGCGGGAAATTGAGCCACTCAAAAAATGGCGCATACATGTCTACCAGGGTAAAAAACAGTGTTGATTTCGAATATCACATTGGTTTTCCAATGAAAAAAAAATTTAAAATTGAGGTTTTGGCCAGGTTTTTCGGTCAAATACCACAGTGTGCGGCGCGGAACGCGCACAGACGCCTACAAACCTAAAGGGCTACTTCACGCATTGCGCAATGCTTGAAGTATCCCTTCAGGTTTGTAGGCGTCAGTGTACATTTCGAGCTGGCAGCGCAGCGGCAGCACGCAGCGCCGCAGCGTGCCATAAACTTGCCTACAATTAATAGGTCAGGGTGTTAAAATGTAGGCAATTTGACATCAAATTCGAAATTAGCGACTCAGAAAACATCAGTTACGAAACTTTCGTGATCTTTCATTCATTATCCGACTTATTTCTTCCTATTCTTGAGTTTTGGAGCATAGTGCGCCGCGCGCGGCGGCGCTCATGAAATTCTCCCCTGTGCTCAGTCGCAGATTGACTGGACTATAGAAGCACTACCTACCTTTGGCTTTGAGATCTGTATTCATTTGATTTCTGGCCTCTTCAGCAAGCGAAAATTGCAACTTGTGTTCTTCAGTCGCCTTTTCTCTGTCTTACTCGGTACTTGCAGACCTCATAGCGCAAAGGTACGTGTCGCACTTTTGGCGCGTGTCCTTTTTAAACGGCTTCCGCCGGAGGTTAAATTCTATGACGGGTACTCTCCTACACAATGACAAAGAGACTGGCTTCGACACTTCTGCTTTGTGCACATCATACATTTTTTTCAGGGTCATGTCATGCGGCGAGATCTTTACCTCTGTCTGGCTCCCACAGTAATGACTTTTGTACACTGGAATTCTTCCCATTTGATTGATCAGGTACTTCGCCCCTTTCTTCTGCAGAAATTTCGCTTTTCAGAGTACCTCTTTGGTCCAACAATTAAGTGGACCTTTGTCTTTTTAAAGTAGTGTCAATTCGCTTATTTGGCACTCTTAATGTACGGCAAAAGAAGGTAGAGCAAACTTCCTTTGTTTAGAAGTATACCTTCTTGCATGCTTTCTTCTCGAGTGATCGTGTTCAATTTTGATTTAATTAATTCTACTTGATCCTTGAGAAAGGGATTCATATGCATTCTAAGATGCTGAATCCGACTATTATCTCCAAATTTTTTTATCACCCTCCATTTTGCTGGAAAAGTCTATTTTTCTCGGAGATCGAGTTTTCCATCGGGGTTTCCAGAAAGAAGTAGAGGATAACGAATTTCTGAGGCCATTTTCGGGGATTTTAGCTTGAATAACATGAGAATCGATATATCACAAACGCGGAAATTTTTTTAAATTTCCTTAGAAGTGGGAGCAGTCCAGAAAAGCTTTTGGCCCAGAAAAATCGGACAGGGGGTTGTCAGAGATAAGTGGAGGACCAATCCGGGTTCAGTGGATCTTCATAAATCAGGAGAGACCTTATGAGGATCTCGGAAAATTTCTGAAACTCCTTATAACAGGAAAATCGGGAATGCCTTCAAAATTGATGTGTTAAAATATTCATGAATTTAAATTATTGTTGCTATTATTAAATTACTATCTCCAATCTGGTTTATCATTATGGTGTATATTCTTCTTATTATCGATTTTTTGTTTTGGTAGAATATAATAAGACCAAGAGAAGTTATCCAAAAAAAGCTGGAAGTTAAAGAAGTATATTAATTTCCAGCTGAAACATTTTTTTCTGCAGACTTGATGAATGAATTTAATTGTATGCATTTCTTTATGTACTTCATCCCTTCAGTTGTATCTTCCTGCAAACTTTTCCTTGACTCCCAGTTTGGAAATTAAAATTCTCTGTGATGTAAAATAAAAATAGAAACGAAGAAAGAGATAGAGAATAGGAGAGAAAGAAAAAAAAAACATAAAAAAAGCTTACCAGAGGTGAAATTTACAGGGTCAGAGGGCTGTTGGGGTATAAAATTGTTCAGGAGGGTGACATAAATACAATCTGAAAATATTAGGAAACTCAAATTAAAAAGAAAAGCTATGATGGTAATAAAATAAAATATAAACAAAAAAGAAGTTGAAATTGACAAAAAAACAAAAATTATTGAAGGAAGGATGTATAAACTAGTAACTTGAAATGCGTAAAAGAAGTTCCAAGCTGAAAATTGATATTCTTGATAGATAAGGAAAGATGTAGGAAAAATTAGAAGGAAAGAATCGTACAGCATAATTTGATGAAAAAGGCGAAATTACTGATGAGCAATAGTAAACCTAGTGGTTAATAACAATACAAAGATTCTCCCTGGATTTTCCCCCAAAATATCTACCTTATTTTTTCCTTATTTCTTGGCCTCCTGATAGTTGCATACGCTGAGCATCAATGCAAAGCTTTTACGTCATTCTGCACAAGTAATTCAACCCTTAGACTTAGATCATGTATGATTAGATTCCAAAGCATGCAGCAAAGAAAAGACGACAAAAAGCCAGTATACTTACTCATAATATTTATTTATTTTCTTTGCTTTTATTTTCTTACATTTCTTCTTTTGCTAATTTTTCTTCATCACTCATTGATTTGCATTGAAATTTAGTGCCATTTTGTCTTTTTCCTGAGGTGTTCAACAGTTACTTTCTCAAATTCATGGGGCATTGATTTTATTATACAAAATCATACGATTGGAAACAATTACATTTTAAATAAAGAAACACATAAAAAATTTTCTTTCAAGAAAAATCTCTGTACTTTTAACAGGAGTATAAAATCGGATAATTCAAAACCTATTTCCTCTTTCCTCATGCAAAATGAGAGAATTGAGAAAAGTAACACATTCAAAATTTCTGAGTGTTTTGTGGATTTTAAATGTTATTGAGTTTTGAGTCATCTGTAGGAGCTTGAAAACTGACTGACTGTCTATGAGCTACTAGATAAGGTTTTAACTAGGAAAAAGTATAACTTATTTTACCTTCATATTCTTATATATGTAAAAAATAATTCACACAATGGTAAGCTACGAGATCAACTCCTCAACTAAGTATCAACAGACTCAGACTTTAACGCAGAGTAAAAAAGTCCGATATGGCGAAAAACGAGATACAACCATTTCGATTTCCAAGTAAAATTGTGTACCTACAACAATGAAGGAGAAAATGGTCTCTTTTTCGCTCAGAGACTTTAACGCGGAGTAGCAAAGTTGGATGAGGCAAAACACGGGATACAACTATTTCAACTTCCAAGTGAGTAAAATTGTACATCTACAAAAATGAACATTGATCAAATGGAAGTTACATCATGCAAATGGCATCATTAGTATTCTCCTTATTCACCAATGTTCATTAACATTGGTTAACCTAACCTGAACACTTATATCTTATTTGAGAGTTGATTTCTAGGCTTTCTGTCGTGTGATTCATCCTCCTCATAAAATGTATAAGGAGTTCTGTAGTGTTTTAGTTTATACCTTGTAAAAAGACCCATTTAGCTCTTTTGCAATCCATAGGGTTTTGATAATTAGTTATTGATAAGCATCAATTTTCGATCAAAAATGACCTTCTGAACAACGGACAGTGTTGAGTTGCTCCCACTAACCCCCCAAAACGGCACTACCCCAGTTAGAAAGACATTTATAAGGACATCCTTCTAAATAATTTTTTGAGACAGAACGTTATCGTACAAATGTAAGCAATCCAACGATTTTAAATGCATTGCTTGAGATAAATGCTCATTGAATTGCCTCTAAATGCAATTCCCTGGACATTGATAACTTCTGATATTTTAACCTTTGCTGAGGTCAAAAATACAGAGATCCTTCTCAACTAATGAATACATGTCTGATGAGTACACTTGATGGCTACGAGTTTCAGTAAATAAGATGACAGTAAAAAAATTTTGACTGAAGAGTCCATTTCTACAATTTTTTCTACATCTTTAACTCAAAAAATATTTACAAATTGTTACAGATTACAAGTCTTCAGAGTATTTTAAAGTCTTAAGAGCTTCAAAAGAAAAAGAAAAATGGACTTGATGCCAAAATATGTAGATGGCATACTTTTCAACTTGACAAACTTACGATTAAAAATTTAAACAAAATTGGGTTGATTCATTCTATGTAACTATATATAAGGCAAATTTTATGAGTTACAAATTTGTTGAAACAAATTTCAACTCAAACTTAAACCAGTGTTCTGGAGGAGGATGGAAAGAAACATCCCAAAATATTCTTAAAAACTTAAGAGGGCATCAAAGGAATATACAAAATCCTAACTTTTAACTCTAATGAAAATTTACTGTACAAACAAGTTGACTGCAAAGAGGTCAATCAGACCAAAATGAATAGAAACGCGCCAAGCCGCATATAATTATTCTATCAAAATTTCACGCAGAACGCATTGAACATATTGGCAACATTCAAAGTCGACTTATAAGTGAGAAATTAACATCTAAAACTCCTATCATAAATAGTGAATCGAAACTTCCTGCTCTAGGAAAAACCATAATTGACGAATTAGGCATCAAAATCAACCCACTTGTTAGGGAACTAACTATAGTTTAGTTTCCCTCATATTTCCTTCTTCTTCTAACACATGATATCTGTACTAAATCTTAAATCTGAAGAAAAAAAATTTCACCATTGTAAAATACGTAAAAATCAGTTCTAATAATGGCCCATTCAATTAGTCAAAAATTCTCTCCTGTCAAAAATGTATGACCGAGAAAGCATATTTTGAACGTGAAAGTAGCTATTGGACTTAGTCCTAAGCGTTAGAAATAAAACTTCATGACTCTTTCCCTCGTTAAAACTTGTTGTGACTTGGTGCGTTTCTGTCAAAATCAATCTAATTTGAAATCATTCATCCAAAAATTTTAAGATTTTTGTAAACGAATTCCACTTTACAATAAATTAAAACTTGAGTGTAAATTGTTGGAATAATGGCGGAAAAAGGGGGAAGATTGTTGAAGAAGAAAATTCAATCCAAGAATCCTCACATTTCATCTTCCTCTAAAAATTTTGGCAAGAAGAATTCAGCAGTATGCTAAAATTTGCGACTAGCTCTAAAAAAAAGGCACCTTAATCTTTTACACTGCTTTACAGGAAAATAATAGCTTCCTCAAGAAAGTAAATTTCAACATTTCAATTGATAACTTGACGTGGATCTGTGACAACCCAATCAAGGTCCCCATTTAGTTTATTGCCAAGTTCTTTCTTGTTTAATGCTGTGTCATTTTTTCTTGAGACTTGTCTACATACTTGTGACGCATCCTGAAATGCTCAAACATCATAAGAGGATAGTCTTCTTTAAGGCTTCCAATGGAATTTTAAGGACAAGGATAACTTGACCTCTCTACAGTTACTTACATTTTGAACCAGCAAATTTTTATTCTTCAAGAAATAATTTCACTTTTTCGAAAAGAGGTATTCGTCTCTTAAAAATACACGACTTCTCCACAAATTTCGAGCAGTAGGGTACGTAAAAGTCAAATATCCGTCCGAAATTAAACTGTGGACATGACTGACCAATGCTACCACTATGATGGCGAAAGAAACTTATCAAACTGTGACTAAAAATTACAAGGCAGAGTTAGAAAATTTAACTGATTAGATAGGTACCTACTTCCAATATATTTTTGTAACTTGAACCACAACTATAGTATGAGACTAATGAAACGACAATCAAAATTTAATACCAAAGAATCATTAAAATGGAGTAAAATATTATTGCCAAAAACGACTGAAAATTTACAAAATTGCTGATTTGATTGTTTCTATGCAAATGTCGGCTGATTAACTGAGCCAATTAGAGTGTTGTATCTCTGTGACTGTAATTGTTTTGTGAGCTGCAAATCCATAATAAAACTGCAGAAATACATATCTTTGTTTATGGTGTTGGGGCCTTTCCGTCATACTTGATTTTCTACATGGAGAGCTACTGAACACCTTTTCTTAATTCTATGTGAAGGGTATTCTGTGAGAATTTCAAGTCAAAAGGTTGGTTACGTTGCCTATTGAAAAATAAAATGGAGATTTGAAAACTTTGCTATACATTTTTGCAGTTTCACTGTCTTACTTACTTATATCTCACTGAAAAAAGTCTGGTGATATGGAAATGGTTTGATTCTTCGGTAGAGGGTGTTTAAATTTATACAGTAAGATGCGCTGACTTTGTAATTAAAAAGTCTTTGCACTGAAAAGAACTTAAAATATATATTAATATGGTTGAGCACTTTACTTGTTTGAGTTGACTGTCATTGAAAGAGTTAGAAAAAATGTACAACTTTTGTTCTTTTTGATTTTTAGAAGTTGTAAGAGCAAAATGTCCGTCTCAGCGTATGACACGCCGGTTGATGGCTTACTGTATTTTTTGACCAACAACTTTGTCAATTTGAAACGACTTTTCTCCCAATAAAAACTTGAAAGCTTATAATCATTATCATTTTGAGGCTCACAAAAATTCAATTTCATTAGCATATCTTTCTCTTTGAGATAATGAAACAATCAAGAATTTTGATCTTTGAAAAAATGTTGGTCCTTTTAGATATCAGCCGTTTTTCAGTCAATTAACTGGACGATTTTACCGAAATCAGTCTAACTATAACAGAGGTCTGATTTTCTCTGATTTTTTATCTATTGAACAGAAAACCAGAAAAAACTGAAATTTTGCAAGTATAATCTCCATAATCTAGGGTCATTCACACAAATTTTAATGGCGTTTAGGTGTTATGTTTTCTGTAAAAAAAATAAAACATGAGAGAAAATTAGGCAATGTGAAATATGGTTCAGCCGATTCCGGTTGAATTCGTCCAACTTGTGTTTACACTCTTTTAGATGATCATACAATCTTATCTAATTTGTAGATGTTTCAGTTGTCAAAATTGCTACAAATGATCAGAAATTGACCTAATATAAATAATTTTATCTACTCTTAAACTCCAATCAAAATAAAATATTAACAAATTCATAAGGTAGAAAATATAATGACTATACTTGACTAAATTCAACTAGAGTACAAAAATAAGTCTTAAATAGAGATTACATCCTTAGCAATGAAGAAAAAATAATAGGTAACAAAATAAAGGGAATGAAAAGTAACTCAAACAGACTTTACCGAGACGTTGCTCAACTCTCTACGGCACTTTCACAATTATTTTTTTCTAGGGGTTTGGCACTGAGGGGGTGAAGATCTTCCGGTGCAGTCTTGGCTGGGATTTTACCATCTGGGTAGTTCCAGCTTTGTACTTCAGCTGTTCCGCACAACTGGAACATTGAGTACGTTCCAATTGCAACTACGGCAGCCGTTCCAAATACTTTGCGCCAAGCAACCAAACTTGTCTGCGAACAATAATGAAGATGAATTAAAGTCTCATACATTACAGACTTGAAGTTGGGGTAAAAAATTTTCTAAAATTTCTAAACTAATGACCATCAATTGAAAAAGGGTCCTGAGTGACAAAAATTCACGGCTGGGAGATGGGCATCACTGTACAGAGTAATTTTTTTTAAACATTTTGGCGCAAAAAATACCCAAAAGTATTTTTAGAGTCTGGTTCAGTTCGAAATTTGTGGTAAACATACACTGTTTGAAGAAAAACCTCCTTTTAGTTTTAATAGCAGGGTTTTCACAATATCTTCATTTTGGATTCCTTAGCTTTTCCTGACTTTTTTTTCTTTTCTTTGATTCCAAAATTTTCAAATTCCCTGATTTTCTGATTGCTTGTACTGCTGGGTGCAATGGGTAAAAGAATGCTAGTACGCAAATGAGTTAAAGAGTGAGGGTAGCTGCTTTGAGGGGAGAATCCATTAATGTTTTCTGAGCATTTCTTACTGCGTTTGTGGCACAGTTGGGACAGAAAAAAGTAATGCACCAGTAAACTTGTTCCCTGAGATAAGATTAATTTTAATAGGGATAGAAATACTTGTAAAGGGCGGCTAGGATCTTCGAATGAGAGAGAAATAAAATTCATCAACTTACATCTTCTTCTAAAATAAAACCAGCAGCCAAAGGTGATAAGAAGCTGGCAGACATATGTATTGTTTGTGCAAATGCGAGAATTGGACCTAAAACCAAAGACGGAGGAAGTTTATCTTGTTATTTGTCAAAAGTACCAATATAATGATTCTTAACAAAAGGGACAAACAATCCGCATCATTATAAGTGAGAGGTGAATTTCTGAGTTATTAAGTTCAACTAGATTTAGAGAGTAACTGTGATTTTGATTAAAAAAAAAAAAAAAAAGAAAAAACATGTAATCAATGTTAGAATCAAAAATTAAAATACTTCTGAGTAAGATAGGTGGGGGTAAGAGTACGCACGGGGTAAAAGTACGCACCGCAATTTTTTCGCGCGCTTTGTTTGAATTTATGATGGCAATATACGGTATTTGTTGTTGGCAACATTGAGTTTCACCTGTTGACAAAGTTTTGTGCGAAGCGGATGTGTTTTGACAGAATTATTCACTTTTCATGCGAAAAAGATCGATTTTTTTAGTACTTGTATTGTCTGTTGTGAATAGAATAGTTGATGGAAAAAATCGGACAGGCACCATATCAAAGTGTTACAGTGTTGGCTTTAATAATCCGTAGTTGTTTTCACACCTTGGGCCTTGGGGTCAAAGTTTTGGTTAATGTTGTCCAATGTTCACAAATGGGGCAAGAGTACGCAGCCAGAATGGGGCAAAAGTATGCGCCCAAAAGTGGGGCGTAGTTGGGGGGGGTGGTGGTGTATAGGAACTTCAACATAGAGGATGTAGGCAACTCAGTATCTTAATAAATTATAATGTTCCTTTGTTCAATTTGGGCAGTTAAACTTTGTTCTTTTCCTCTTTAAAAAAAAATTACTTCGAAAATTATTTGGGAGCTTGTGGAGACTGAATTATTATTTTTTTTTTTCACAGTAAAAGTGGTTAGGCACTACTGGAACCCTTTGAGACCAGTTTCAGACGTTTTCCGGGATGTAACAGGGATTTGGAAAGCGGGAGATGTTTTTTAAAAACAAATTTCACCTGCATACTTTTGCCCCATTAAATGGGGGCAAAAGTACGCATTTTCAAATTTTTTTAAAAATTTGTCACATTAATTCATCGACAAATTTATCTTATTATAATCTAAAATCCTCAGCTTTTAGACATTAATGATGGTGCAAAATGTTGAGGAGGCATTTTGGAAGAAACTTAAGCAATTATTACCCGCTAGGTTAGGAGCGATATCGACGACGTTTGCCATTGCTCCGGCGTAAGCTGCAGTGATTAGAGTAACAGCTATGAACCAAGTGACAAGAACCAAATTGATTTCACAACCCAGGTAACCGATTGCAAGTAACAAGAGGCCTGGAATGATTTGAGCTGAAAAATAAGCCAATCAAAGAAATCAATTTGTGATTAGAGTAGAAGTTGTAAATCAATTTTGATGCTCAGAATCCATCTTTTAAGTTCATTGCAATAGGATCTGACTGCTCTCTGCACAAAAAAAACCTTCGCAACTTTTTCCAAATTGTATTTATCAATTTTAGGAAGCTGCTTAAGGTATGTCATGCCACAGATATGTTTTACCACATAACTTACACTCATTCTCAATTTAAAATTTATTAAAACTAAGATAATATGCAAATTGTGGCGTGAGATGACCTCCTTACAGGGCTATCTAACGAGCATAGTGCGATGAAAATATTGAAACGATTATTCATGTAAATGCAATAAGATTGCCTGTTTTTCTTCTTATCTTTTTATCATATACAATTGCGATATTTTTACATCATTGGATCAAATAAATCGATTTAAGAGGATCAATAAAATGAGTTCCGAGTGGGAGGGAGGTGAGAAATTTGTGATGAAACAAAAAAATTTGCAACTTATTTTAATTTTGTTGCATTAAATTGCAATAACACGGAGTTGTAAAGAGACAACATGCACACAGAACACTCTGATATAGTAGCAATCATTTTACCATATAATTGCACTTTAGGGCAACCTTGTTCCTTGTGTAGATTCCCAATGGAGTTTTTCTAATCTTTATTTGAAATCATTTTTAAACCAAATTTAATGTCATTTGAAGAGAAACTTACACACAGCGGTGAACAATTTGCGCACATTGGTTAAGGATAATATCTCATGAACGACAAGGTAATCTGCTAGGTAACAAAATATGACTGATGATAAGTAACTGCACAAAAAGGGGACTCCACTTAATAGACCATTCTGTAAATGAGGAAAAATATATTAGGACAAACAAGGCTCATTGAATATATAGGTACACTAAAAATTTTTCCAGATCCATAAATAGGTATTGCTTCTATAAATTGGTTTCAGAGAAAAATGCATTTCACGAGAAGAAACCGTAAAAAGCGAGTAATATGCTGTAGATTACTGCTAATAAGGATACTAGCGTTACCAAAACTCCCTCACTTCACACAGATGGTAGCAAATTTTCTGATTATTATCTTACTCCAAGTTACAACTTTATTAGAAGACACATAAAATGTTGGGCCACCAGTAACTAATGGCGTTCTACATAATTTTTAAAAGAATATCACTTCATGTACTAATGAATGCATTTCTCCAAAATTTGAAGTTTAAAATCCCTTAACAGAGCATCCCGGAGAAATGTTTTTTTGTTCTAATTCGAGCTGTCACAGTTGCCTCAGTTATCAGTGACTGACAAACATTATTTTACCTGGAGCGTATATTGATGGTAAAACTGCAGAAATGCATATCTTAGTTTGCAACGTTGCAGACGACCTGTCATACTATACTTAGTGAATGGAAAAAAACTTAAAGTCATTTCCCTTATTTTCTTTCTCTGCAAAAAGAATATTTGGTGAACATTTCAAGCAGCAGTGTTGATTTGTTTTCTTTCTATTGAAGAGGAGTTTTTAAAACACCCAAAACAAGGTACACACCACTGCAAATTCACTGCTGATGTATCAAACAAAATTACACTTATGGAAGACACTAACCTTTGAATTTATTAGACATGCATTGCAAGTGTACAGGTATGATGTTCGCAGAAAGTATGCTTTTAATGAAAAAATCTGCAACCTCCACATCAGTTCATTAGGTATACTAGGACTAAGGTAATTTTCTTTTCTCGATTAAACACTACATAAGTATTTCATCCGAATCATTTGAAAAAATTGCCGAGCAAGATGAGATGAGATCACTACTTCATGATTAAAATTTGTACCTTTTGTATACTGAAGCCCAGAACAGTCTTCATATACAATGGTCCACAAATGATGAAAACATAATGAACCCAAATTCTGCCAAAAGTAGTGACACCAATGGCCCAGGCGGGCGGAGATGTTAAAATGGACATCCATGGAACTTTCATTTCCTGAGAATACAAAGACAGTAGAGCATAAATGAGTAATATTCTACACAGGAAAAAGAAGCACTTTTCTACTAACTTCAGTAATTTCTTTAAAAAGTTTGAATTGCTACTTCTCCGGTAAGATCATGGAATCATATGATGCCTAACCATTTATTGATCTCTTGGATTAAATTAGCATCAGTGAGATAAGCTATACCAGATTTAAGGTACATTTTGAGGCACAGGATACTACAGAACATAATTTATAAAAAAAAACAGATGATGATTTTAAAGGAATGTGTTAGGTCTTCTGCCTAATATTTGTTTGCTCCAAGCAGAAATTTAACAACAGTAAAAATTGTTGAAACCAAAACTGTTATGTGCCTAGGTTCATTCAAACTTAAAACAACATTGGAAAATTCAAGCAAAATACCTTTCTACCAATGACAGTGTTGCCGATAGTCCTCTGAATGTACGCCAACTCAGATCGGGTGATGCGAGGATGTTTGCGCGGCAAGTCGAACGCCAGAAGCCACCAGACTACACACCAACTAAGTCCAATTGAGCCAGTCGTGTAGAAAACAATGCGCCAACCATAATGCGCGATCAGGAAGCCACACAGCGGGTACGTCAGCCCAATCCCGAAACTAAAACCTGACATCCAGGCTACCTATTACCACTCCACTACCTAGATGTTAATTTCCATAAACAATTAATAGGTACTGCTTTTTTGGCTTTCAAACGTAGGAAGTCACTCTTGGTCAGCTCTTCCTGGTCTTACTCTAAAAAAACTGATAAAACTCAGAGTTGTTTTGTGGATTGAGATGAAGACTATGTTTTTCTGATCAGTTTTTCAAATGTTCTAGCGATTAGTTTGAGCTCTGCGTTAAAATTGAAGATTGCGGTTTTTGAAATTTTTTATTGTCCATAAACTTAGGTCTCCCCTTTTAACAATCAAAGAAAGGTTTGTTAAGATTTTATTGGTAACCATACATATCCATTATACCCTGCGTTATTTAAAAGTATAGAGAAAGGAAAAAAAAATCTTCTGTTAAAATAAGATGATACAAAACTAAGGATTAGGATGAGTTTCCCCCTTTTTTTCTCTTTCATTCCAGTTTTTGACAATTACAAATCATATTTTCATGCCATTTTTGATACGCAGGATTTGGCTTGAGATAATAAATAAGACAAGCAGATATAAGCGTCAAGCGTTTTTACCTCAGTTAATTTATTCAAGCTTTCTGGGAAAAAAATTTAAGGCTTGGGGCTACTTTTGAAACCTGATTTTGGGTGACACAAATTTAAAATGAGTAAAATTCAATTTTAGGTTGGAAAAAACATAATCTGAGGACAAATTTAGTGAAAAAAGTGGATCATGAAATTTTGAACATTTTCTGGTGCAAAAGATTTTTTTTTTATATTATTTAAAATCCGATTTTTTACATAAACATTGGAAGCAAAGCTCTTGTATTAAAGTCTTGCGATCAAAAATTTGGTAGAGTGATTGTAATTATATACTTAAAAAGAAGGTGATGAATTTATGGTCTCACTTCTCGCACATTTTATGATGACTATCTCTTTCACTTTGGTGTCAAACACATATAAAGAAGCTTAGTTTTGACTAACCTAATATGTGAGCACAGGTCAAAAATGTTTCAGAAAGTTAAAAGAAAGAAAAATCCGCCATAAACAATGTTTAACGACTCATGAGAACAAAACTAAGCCCAGACGCAAGCGAAAATTTGGGGATGAAACGACAAGTTCAATTGAGATTGAGCTTTTATCTCAGATAAATAGATTCCTAATTTTTTAAATAAGTTAGCAATATCAAGCAGTTTCTGAACAAATGAAACACTTCAGTTCCATAAAGTCTGGGTAATTCATGATTAAAAAATGTCTGTATGCCGGAAATTAACATCCCACATTAAAACATCACAATGAATGAAGCAACAATTATGTAAAATTTAGATAATTTTTGGTGCGGACAGAAAAAGACTTAACATTGAAAAATAAATGTTTGACACATGAATTTTAGAAAGCAAAAGCTTCTGAGCTAGAGGCTGTTGAACACAGAGATGTCACAATAATTTATTTAGGCATATGGTTAGGCGGTTACTAAATACTTATCAAAATCCTAAAATCTCACAGGGAAATTTTGAATGAATAAAGTTTCCCAAGATCGATGGTTACGATCAATTGATGAAATTACAAAACCACAAATCGCTGGTTAAACTGTGAAACCACATGTTTCTATTTGCAACTTTGATTTCCTGTCATATTCCATTTTTTCTGCAGGAAACTAGTCAACATAACATCTTGAAAACTTTCTTGGTTTTTCCTCTCTTGGTAGAATATTCTGTATAAATTTCAAACTATAAAGTTGGCTTGTTCTTCTATAAAAAAAAAAATTAACGGAGAGCAGAAATTTCGAGATATTACAATGAAGATACTTTGCTTTTCACTTTGGACAGCGATATCTTGGCTTGCAACACTGCAGAGTGCTGTACGGAATGATGAATGATAAATGTAACTGCACAAAGTTTCATATGATTTTTCTTCTACTTTTCAAAATTATCTTAAAAAATGTGCGAAAATGTGCAGTAAAACTCTTTAAATAGTAGGAGGAGGGAGTGAAAATTTTGAAACGCAGCAACTGAGATATTATTTCTTATTGCACTGTTGCTGGCCAAAAAAGTATAAACTTCAGTTATCTATAATGGGGAAAAAAGACGGGAACTTTTCAGAGGGGGCACTGACAAGTTGGAAAATTTTTTTCTTTTTGCTTGTAATAATTTGACATACTACCCCCTCTCTATGCGGAGATCAGAGAAAAATGTTCAATCTCACCTTGGAATGATGACATAAATCTGCTTCTCTCATTGGACGGAATCCAGTGGCCAACTAAAGCGTACATTGCAGGCCACGTTAAACCCTACAAAAAGAACAATTTTCGTCAGAGCTATATGAACAATTAAAAGTACTGTATGTAGAATGTATAAAAAGGGTATACCTACACATACATCAAATCTTGGCTCAAATAGAAATCTGTTCTTGCTGCATTTGAGAAAGATTGAAGCCTCACTGAATGAAGGTAGCGGGATGACATTTATGTAATTTCAACAAAAAAGGGTTAACAATTTTAAAACTGTACAAGAAGAAGAACACTTCACAAGAAGTTGACATTTTATGTGCAGAGCTGAACATTGAAAATTTAAGGCTTGAAACTCTGAAAGGGAAGAGAAGGAGCCAGGTGCCTGATGAGATGTTGAAAGAAGGAAAATGGAAAAAAACATACGCCAAAGAAAATAATATAGTGAATGTTGCAAGCAATGTTGAAATTGGCGGTTCGATACACAATGTACCAATATTAAGTAAATGATCAAAAGCTGGACTTTGGAAGGAAGACAGAGCAAGAACCGCACTTTTTCAGGATGAGAATAGTTATTTGGACGTATTTCTGCCGAACGGAACTATGTGCATTACGACATGAGCCTAGTTATGCATATATTCTTAGGGGTCTCACGGCTCATGTCTTAATGCACATAGTTCCGTTTGGCAGATATATGTCTATTTCAAGTTACATCGAGATCAACAACAGCTGGAGGAAAATGGCACAAAATTAAGTGATGGAAAAGATGAAAGAATGGAGGGATAAAATGTCTGAAAAGGATGTGCGGTACAAAATCTACATCATACTAATCATACGTATTGCGGCTCTCCTACAGGTAACTGAAGTCTGAAAAAGGTTCATTTCTTTGTCAAGATTACTTCGAAGTCGGTTTTACTCGATATCACTGATAGCTCCCTTTTTTTTTTTATTTAAGAAAAAAAGTCACTTACTTCTGCTTTTGACGGAGGTTTTAAGTGGTATTCAAGACGATGAGTCATGATGCAAAAGTTTTCTTACAAGACGGCAATATGCGGCACTTGTTGTGGAAGGCTGTCCGTTACAAAGCAAGATCGAGGAGATAACTATTCTTGCATCATGGTACCCCGAATTGCCTACCCTATAATACGAAGGCACTTATAGGGACAGACTTGGTGCTCCTTCGTATGCTCGGTAAACGCACTCTTTATAGAGTACAAACTAATGTCACAAGGAGCACAGTGTCTAGCCGTTGAAAAGCCTTCAAATTACAGCGTAGGCAAATTAGTGTACATGTGCATCTTTTCAATCCTGTTGTCATCGACGGCCTTCCCAAAGCAAGAAGCATCCACGAGCAGTCACTGTCACTTGAGGCAAGAATGGAGATGTTGCATGTGTGAGGAATTTGCGAGAAACACGATGGTGCCACTGGTTTTCTCTGAAATCAACTCCCAAGCTCAAAAAAAGCTCTCGAGTTGAGGCCAAAATGGAGGGGATATCCCACGCTATGTTGGAAGTCTACCTCTATGTTAAGTCGAAGTCTCCATGCAAAGATAGGGAGCAAATACATTGACAGAGCTGCCACTTTATTTGGGGCCTCTAAAACTGAAAACACGGCAACCCCGTTAATGTATTTGTTTATGTTTTTGTTTTCTATCTTTGCATGGAGACTTCGACTTAACATAGAGGTAGACTTTCAACATAGCGTGAGATATCCCCTCCATTTTGGCCTCAACTTGAGAGCTTTTTTGAGCTTGGGAGTCGATTTCAGAGAAAACCAGTGGCACCATGGTGTTTCTCGCGAACTTTTACATACGTATCAATAGTCAAAACGCAAATTCCTCACACATACAATTGCAGGGCCGGATTTAGAGGAAATCCAGGCCGGGAATCTGCGGGGTTAACCATATAGATTTGTGCCTATTATGGTAGAAGTGGTTTTTAACCAAGGATTCTCTGTTTGATTGGAAAATTCAAGATCATTAAAGAACTTAAAGTAAGTGTTGGTCTTTTAAATCAATCATGATCGCGACCCATGGCGGCAAATTTGAATTTTTTTTAAATGTAGGTTTAAAAAAAAGTCGGATTCAGAAAAAAAAAATTACAAACTAGAAAACGCGACAAAATTTTTCATTTCCTGAGAGTATAGTAATTTCTAATTTTGACGTCTTTCGGTGATATAAAATGCAGCGCCTTTAATTAGTCGAGTTAAGAGAGAAACCAAACACGCAATTTGGCTTGGAACGGCGCGGCGTGTGGAGAGCAATGATGACGAGGACTTGAGATGAAAAGGAGAAGCCCTCGGCGCGGCGCGGCGGTCAGCGTGTACCACATATTAGCGCCTACAAGACTGCATGAATACTTCACGCATTGCATCAAACAGTGTGCGGTCAGCAGCGGTCGGCGTGAAACGCATGGCGCCTACAAGACTGCATGCATACTTCGCGCATTACCAAATACAGTCACCCATACGGTCAGCGCAGCGCGCCGGAAGTTAAAATTATTAAACCACCTTATGATTGTTCTCTCATATTTGTTTCGTTCAATACTTGTAAATGGAAGGCCTTGTCCACACAGAGATAGGTTTACGGAACTTAACTGCCGCGCAATGTTTCGTGAACTTTTGCTAATAGTGTTGACAGGGCTTTCGCAAAAAATGTGTCCAACACGAGTAAACGCGTCTAATGCACCCCTCCCCCTCTGGCACATTCACTTGATGATTTTTATTGATGTTTCGGAAAGAATGAGAAGGGAGCGGCAAAATATAGGCGGCCCATGGGCGGCAATTAGGTAAATCCGGCCCTGCTCCATTCTCGATAAAATTATATCGAAAATTTAGGTTGACATCGAAGCGCTTTCAACTTGAACTTACCGAGGCAAAGCCTTGTATTGAGCGCAAGACTATGAGCGCGGAGTAATGAAAGACAGCAGCTTGTGGGATGAGCAAGGAGCAGACAGCTGTGACCAACTGCGAGAACCCGAACACGGTTTTAGTGCCGAACTGTTGCGTCAGAACACCACCGATTATCTGCGACAAGATGTAGCACCAGTAGAATGACCCGAGGATGGCCGATTGCGTTGTTGGATTCCAGTCGAACTCACCCTCCTCCTGGCAAACATGAAAATGGATCGAGTTCAGTGTCGAGCCGTGAATGATCGATCATCGATATCTTCCCATTTGAGGCTGTGGTAAAGAATCGATTTTTAAGGTGTTCGCTGCGAACACCCTGTTTATATACTCGTATTTTCTTCGATATAGGTTTAAATGGCAGATCAATCGATACATTTCAAAGCACGCCACGCCACTGATCGAGTTTAACAGAAAGGAACAAGTTGCGTACCTCGAGATCAAACAAAGAGAAGGTGGTTTTGAGTTCCGTTCCTCCTCGAGACTCGAATTTAGAGATGAACAGCAACGCCATTTTTATAATTCAAAAGAATTTTCACAGTTTTGCATTTTTTACGAAAGAAAATGCACGGCTGGTAAACCATAAAATATACACCATGAGACGCACTTGTTTATTTTTTTCATTTTTTGAAATTAACTTTTATTTTATTGTGATATTTCTTGGAATGTTATACCTTTCGTTCCATTTTCCATTTATTCGTTCATTCTTGCTTACATTAATTTTTTTCGCAAATAATGTGCAGGAAATAGCAAGGGAAGAAATGAGATTTATCAGTGAGTTCCGTAATTATGGGAAGGCTCAGAGGAGCGTTACGTATTTTTTAAGGAAAGCCTACACTGCCGTGCTAGGGAAAAACACCGTATGCACCTTCAGGTGTTGCCTAATTTATTGTAATGCAATACGAAACTCCTTTGAAACCTTTGATTATATTTCTCTCAATTTTTTACAGGATTTCATTCACAATTTGATCTACAGTATCTGACAATTTCAAGGAAAAATATGCATAACTCTAAAAAAAAAAACCTAACATTTAATCGGAAGAAATTTGGCAACTCTCAAATGATCATACGGCGTTCTTTCTAAGCAAGGCAGTACAGATCTGCGTTACCGTAGCATGAAGATTCGAGATGGGGGGGGGGGAGAAATCCGATTTTTTGCGATTTGTTCTTTACGAATGGCCTCTTCTTTCATTTTCTGGATTTTTTTTGGTGGGAAAAAATGTTACGTTTTTTTAATTTTGTTTCGGAGTTAGGAGCTTGGGAAAACGGGAGATTCTTCTACGGACGATTCCTTACCGATAAGGAGGTGATGTTGACGTCCGGTTGTTCGGATACGTTGGAGGTGGGCGGGACGAAGCAGTACTTCTCCTGGGCCTCGGTGCTGTTGGTTGGCGTCGAGGGGAGCTTCACCATGGCCACGATGGCTATGTTGATGTCCGTGCGCATCATGAAACTCACCAGAAACCCCGAGAAAGACAGCATGTACAGCACCACCCGCGCTGGCACCATATCTGCAACAAGCCACGCACACAATTCAAAATTTTCAGTTACATAGGCAATACTTTTTCGCGGAAATTCGCCGTTCCTTCACACGCGAAAAGGAAAATTGGAGAAAATTCCGCAAAATGATGTCACATCGTTTTGCGGGTATACTGAAAAAAATAGTTCAATCGTTTGCGCTGAACGGTCGGGGTTCCATATTGATCGAACTATTCGGTTTGTCAGAATGAAACATGGGCGTGCAAAGAGGGGGGGAGGGTCAGGCCCCCTTAGAATTGAAAATAGTATCATCTGCCGCCCCTTCCCCAAATTCTGGAGGGTGGAGAAAAATCTTTGTCGAGGATATTTATCGTTTTCAATGTAGCAGAGTCTTAAGTGAAAACACCCGTGTCCATTCAAGTAATATTCTCTAAAATTTCCGTCATGAAAACCTAAAAATACGTCCAAATAGAGTTAAAATTACTAAAATTCTCTGGATCATTTATATGCAACACTTTGAGAATATTTTGTGCTGAAAGTATAAAAAAAACCGTAATTTTTCCGCAGAAATTGATGCAAAATCTGCGTTACGGAAGCCTCAATATGCGTCCAAATTGATTAAAAATTTCAGAAATTTTCCGCGGAAGGCCCCCCCCCCCCCGGATCCCCCCCTGAGCTGAGTAGTATTCCATAACCCCCAGACCCCCAATGGTAGAGGGGGGGGTTAGGTCCCCTCGCAAAATGACCTAGATACGTATTGAATGACATTTCGGTTCATGAGATTAAACGTTCGATTCGTGTGACCGAACTTCACCATTCAACGTGTCCATCAACGACCATCAAAGCGTCCGTTCCGATCTCACGAACCGAATGTTCGGCTCAACAATCCAGATTGTTTGATTGATATAGAGCTGTGGACGTATTTCTGTCAAACGGAACTATGTGCATTAAGACATGAGCCCTGAGACCCATTAGAATATATGCATAACAGAGCTCACGTCATAATTCACATAGTTCTATTTGACAGAAATACGTCCATATGTTCAGTCTTCGAACCTTCTTCTCGGAAAAGCTGAGCTTTTACACCTGGAAAAATAATACAAGGGGAGATCTGCGAGTCGCAATAATCGTGATGGATGTTTTTCTAGCTCCAACCCCGGTGTTTTGTTCGTTACCCCTGCCTCAATCATGCAGGACGGTTCTGCTCGGTGATCTGTGCACATCTGAAGGGGAAATTGGAACAAGTTCAAACAGACTGCAGTCGGACTGAATATCGAATCCACTTCATCTGCACAAAGCGTCGCATTCACGTTCGTATTAGACCGCGTGCCCTCGACTCCCGTATGATTTTCAGAGAGAGATAGCGCAACCTAAATTTTCGGGTTGGGTATGCTCATGGAGACATAGTTACGGACAGTGACGTCATTTTGGTCAAAACAAGGCAGCCGAAAACTTTTCAGGAGGGGGGGGGGGGGGGGTATTGTAGATTGAGCTGCGCGTGATGATATCCTCCAGCTCGAAATATCCTACCCAAAAAGTCATAACGACGGTGAAAGTCGGCAATCACATAACTCGTTTGCGGTGTCTGAAAATCTCCGCCTCTACGTCATTTTTTTAAAGGAGAACAAAT